AGCTGCTGGGAAGCAGAGAGGGAGGAGAGCTGCCCAGCACCCTGACTGAGATGTACATCCACTACCTGGTGCTTCAGGCCAAAGTCAAGAAGGTCAAGTATGAAGGAGGAGCTGGGACAGATCCACACTGGAGTCCAGGCAGCAGGAAGATGATTAAGTCTCTGGGAAAACTGGCTTTTGAGCAGCTGCAGAACGGAAACCTGATCTTCTATGAGTCCGACCTGACAGAGTGTGGCATGGATGTGAGAGCAGCCTCAGTGTACTCAGGAGTGTTCACACAGATCTTTAGAGAGGAGAGAGGGCTGTACCAGGACAAGGTGTTCTGCTTCGTCCATCTGAGCGTTCAGGAGTTTCTAGCTGCTCTTCATGTCCATCTGATATTCACCAACAATGGTATCAATCTGCTGACAAAACCACCAACCTCCCTGAGGTCCAACCGATCGAGAAAGAAACCTGATCCAACGCTATTCTACAGAAGAGCTGTGGATGAGGCCTTACAGAGTCCAAATGGACATCTGGACTTGTTCCTCCGCTTCCTCCTGGGTCTTTCACTGCCAATCAATCAGACTCTCTTACAAGGTCTGCTGACATACTCGAGAAATGGGTCACAGACCAATGAGGAAACAGCTGAGCACATCAAGTCAAAGATCAGAGAGAATCCATCTCCAGAGAGAAGCATCAACCTGTTCCACTGTCTGAATGAACTGAAGGACCAATCTCTGGAGCAGGAGATCCAACAGCACCTGAGATCAGGATGTCTCTCCACAGATAAACTGTCTCCTAGTCAGTGGTCAGCTCTGGTCTTCATCTTACTGTCATCAGAAAAAGATCTGGATGTGTTTGACCTGAAGAAATACTCTGGTTCAGAGGAGGCTCTTCTGAGCCTGCTGCCAGTGATTAAAGCCTCCAACAAAGCTCTGTAGGTGCACAACCAACTAGTCAACTGATTGATTTAACTTATGGATTGATTTAGTTTCACTGGTTTATTAAGGAATCTATCATATAGTCCTATTCTTACTGATGACTAAAGAATATTTGTATAAAAGCTTGTGATGTAAGAGACAGCTGGCGTTATGTGATGTCGCTTCACTTTAGAAACGCACCAGAAAAACAATTTCTCAACTGTAATCCAAGGTCGCAAATAACCAGTGAATGACTCACTGACAGAGAGAAATTTGCTTTTAATTCGTTTTACATCCATCCATTATCTTCTGCTTATCCGGGGTCAGGTCGCCAGGGCAGTAGGCAGAGCAGGTCACTCCAGACTTCCCTCCCCCTGGCAACGCTTTCCAGCTCTTCCTGGGGGATCCGAGGCATTCCCAAGCCAGTCGAGAGATATAATCCCTCCAGCTGGTTCCGGGTCTGCCCCAAGGGTCTCCTCCCAGGTGGACGTGTTTGGAAGCCTCTCCGGAGGCATCCGAATCAGATGTCCATACCACCTCAACTGGCTCCTTTCGACGTGAAGGAGCAGTGGCTCTACTCCGAGCTCCCTCCAGATGTCTGAGCTCCTCACCCTATCTCTAAGGCTGAGCCCAGACACCCTGCAGAGGAAGCTCATTTCAGTCGCTTGTATCCACGATCTCGTTCTTTCAATCACGACCCAAAGCTCGTGACCATCGGTGAGGGTTGGGACGTAGATGGACTGGTAGATCAAGAGTTTCGCCTTGTGGTTTAGCTCTCTCTTCACCACGACGGTCCGGTACAGTGTCCACATTACTGCTGACACCGCACTGAGCCACCTGTCTATCTCATGCTCCAGTTTCCCACCACTCGTAAACAAGATCCCGAGATACTTAAACTCCCTCGCTGGAGTAAGCAACTCCCGGTGCCCGGTGCCTCTCACCGTGGGCAACTACGGAAAAGGAGAGTCCAACCCCTCTCCAGGGGTTCGGTTCCAGAACCCCTTTGCTGTGCATGGAGGTGAGCCCGACTATATCTAGTTGATAACGCTCCACCTCCTGCACCAGCTCAGGTTTCTTCTCCACCAGTGAGGTGACGTTCCACGTCCCCAGAGCTAGTCTATGCCACCAGAGGGCGGTACGCCAGGATGCCTGCTCGATGGGCATAGTACCCAACCCCGATCCTCTGCCCTGAGGGTGGTGGACCCTCAGGGAAGTGTTAATTCTTCGGGCTGTGCCTGACCGAGCCCCACAGGGCCCCAAGGCTCGACCACCAGATGCTCCCTGGTGCCCCCCCAGGCCTGGCTCCAGGAGAGTGCCCCAGTTTCCTTATTCTGGGTGAGGTGGCGGCTTTGCTTTTTGTGTTCTCATCAGGGTTTCTGAATTGCTCTTTGTCTGGTCCCTCCCCCAGAACCAATTTGCCTTGGGAGACCCTACCAGGGGCTAATGCCCCGGACAACATAGCTCCTGGGATCACAGGGACACTCAAACCCCACCACCGCGATAAGGTGGTGATTCATTCTTTTTACATTAAACACAGAAAGAGTGATAGTACTTCTCTTTTCACAAACTCTCTTTCAGATTGAGTGGCTGTGATCTCTCAGAGAGAAGCTGTGAAGCTCTGTCCTCAGTCTTCAGCTGTCCATCCTGCAGTCTGAGAGACCTGGATCTCAGTAACAATGACCTGCAGGATTCAGGACTGAAACTGCTCTCTTCTGGACTGAAGAGTCCACACTGTACACTTGGGACGCTAAGGTCAGATAACATTTTGATGCATTTGTGTAGCACTATGAGTCTCATTGACAGTTACAGAAATGGTTTGATTGCAGTGATCACTTCAAAAGGTTGTGCAACTAAATATTAAGTTAAGGGAACCATCCTTTTTGTCCAGGCCTGTTTCATGAGTTTATTTTTTTTTAATAATTCTGTTAAACCGCGGTTCAAAAGCAACGTCTGATCTTCACTGATTAATTTTCATAGAATTTTTATTTATTATTACTTTTGTCAGATTCAAGTTATTTCTGTGACCGTTGTGGGTTTTTCTTTCATTAACCGAAGGGTACCAACTATTTTGTCCATGTGCGTACACTTTGAATTAAGCAAAAACCTGATATAAAAACCACGTGTTTGTACTTCACTACAAAGTAGAAGAAAGACAAATGTCACAAACTCTTCTAAATCCCTTATAATTAATGTAATATACATAATACAATGTTTTTTTTTTCATCTTTATCAGGTTGCATCAAACAAAACTCACAAAAAAATGCTGCAAGGACCTGTCTTCAGTCCTCAGCTCTTGTAGTCTGACAGAACTGGACCTGAGTTACAACGACCTGCAGGACTCGGGGGTCACGCTGCTCTATGCTGCAATGAAGGATTCTCAGGGAACACTGGGAACTCTCAGGTCAGATCAAGTTCAGGTTTCTGTGTTAATGTTGTACCTTAAACATAAAATAAAAATAATAAATCAGTGTGTTGTAAGCTAACTTTAGATCATAACACAGGTTCACTGTAGCTGTACTAGTGATGAATGAGGGATCAGGCACAAACAACAATTATTTATTTTATCTTGTAAGTTGTTCCCCCAAAAAATGAAGGGATATTTTGCTCATAGACTAAAGAAAATTAAATAATGGACATTCAGTAAGATTCTCTCTGATTTGCAAAGGCAACAGGCATCTACCTGCAGTGTTCAAAGTGGAGTGTTTTCTTGCATGTTGATGTGAACTGATACCATGACTCAGTCAACATGCCTTTAGTATCAATACCACTCTGATTGTTCTTTTTTATAGGCTCTCTTGCTTTTCTTATTCTTTAGAGTTTTGGCTCTTCTGGTGCTTTAAAAAATGAATATGAAGTTCAGCTGAATTATACAAACAACAAATATTCTATTTCCTCACATGTAGAAACTAAATTTGCTGAGTGTGCACTCCTGCAACGCTGCCCCTGTGGATGGGGCTGCATCCTGTCAGTCAGATCCACCCCACCCTCATTATGTCTGCTTTCAAAAGACCAAGATGGCAACAGCATCAAAACAACAGACCACAAACCAACAGGCAGTGTCCATCTCTCCTATGGTCTATGAAAACACTGCAGTGTGCTGCTAGCAGCCAGCTAGACAGCAGCACTGAAGCTTTACCAACATTCTGTTTTGAGTACTAGCTTGAATCAAACTAGTCTTACAGGGAAAGAGGGCTAGACCTATGTCAGAGTTTTTATTGGTCAACTAGTGATTTAAGGTAGAGAAGGAAGACATAAATAATAAAAGCCCACATTGTAGCATCAGTGTATTTGTCTTTATCTCTAACTCCATTTCAGGCTTGGAGGCTGTAACCTGTCAGCGAGCAGCTGTGCAGCTCTGTCCTCAGTCCTCAGCTCCCCGTCCTCCAGTCTGACAGAACTGGACCTGAGCAACAACAGCCTGCAGGATTATGGAGTCAAGCTGCTTTCTGTTGGACTGGAGAGTCCAAACTGCACACTGGAGACGCTCAGGTCAGATTACTGTGATGCTTCTGTGTGACACGGCACGGTGCATAGATTTTCCTTCGATGAAAGAAAATGTTATTTTGCAATGATAGGCCCTTTCAGATATGGGACATGGACCATTGCTGGGTTCATCGATCTGTTACAGTGACCACATTCAACCCCTTTCACATACAGGCCACTTTTCTGTTCATTTTCAGCCACAGTGCTGAAGCTCACCGTGACAGACGTGGTGTGCATATATTTGTCATTCACATCAACTGATGTATAATGAAAAATAATGTAAGAAGAGACTAGACCTAAACTAAAACCAGCTGTGTGTGTCCAACAATGTGAGCGGGTTAGTGTGACAGCTCACCTGTCGGAGGTGAAGAAATGCTCACAGTGTGAGCTGCTGTTGAATCCTGATCGGCCCTTTCTTCATGTCGAGAATCATTTGTAGTTCAACCTCGTTAATGAAATGACCTGTTGTTCAGCGCCTCAGTGTGCACAGCTCTCTCTCTGTTTGAACCAGGATCTGACGGCAGGTCACGAATGTCTCTGGAGGGATCCTCTATGTTCTCTCTGTGAACATTTAGAATTCTAGGACTTTAGTTAAATTACTGTTGTTCTGTGAACAGAAGTGTGCTGCACATCTGGATCCTGCTGCTGTCTGATGCTGCAGGTAGAAAAGACTTTGAGCCAATCGTTTTAAACAGCTGGAAGAAACATTTCAGCTCCTCTTCTAAAAACTCCATTACATTCATTATTGGTGTTTGTAGTTATTTGTAAGCAGTCTGTCTGTTTTTGGAGCAAAGTCCCTGAAAAAAGTATGATTTTGGCACACAGACTGGGTATGAAGCATCTGGTGTTTCTGGATGAATACTGATGCAAAAATGTGCAAAAATCTTTTAAAAATGTCTCACAACTTAAAGCACTAGTGTCTCTCCGGTAATGTGAAGGCTCAGGTGAGCTGTGTTCAGCGTTAGTCTGACAACTTCTACAGATGAGCGACTGGGTGCACATTTGGACAAGCAGTCCACCTGCTTCGCTGCCATCAGTTCAACATAACAGAGTGCATGTGTGAAAGGAGATTTGAGAAAGCATGCTTGAAATGGCTTCAAGTGACTTTTCTGACTCGTTTAACCCAATGATCTGCTTTGCTGAGCTCCTCAGAGTTGTCGTGTTTGTACCCGAGTGTATCAGACGGGCCTCGTGTGAACTGGCTCAGAGCAGTCAGCAGCTGTAGTCCATCGTATTCACTCACAAGAACAAATGTATGAAAGAACCTAAATGCATGATGCTTTTTGTGACATAGATGCATGGGTTTTAGTGATTCCATTAACAAAAAAATCTGTCTTTGGAAGACTGCCATGATACACACGGTCTTTGTAAGTGTGTAGAAACACTCGTTCATGACTACACCCCAGCCAACATTACCAGCATAGCATCTGCTGTCTGTACTTTGTTCTATCAGGTTGAGCAGAATCAGGGTCACACAGGCATGCTGTCATGACATCTCAAAAGTCCTCAGCTCCCAGTCCTGTAGCCTAAAAGACCTGGACCTGAGCAACAATGACTTGCAGGATTCAGGCGTGAAACTGCTCTCTGATGGACTGAAGAATCCACACTGTGCCCTGGAGGCTTTAAGGTAAGGATGCAACCTTAACGGATATCCATTTAAATGTGCGTGGACACACAGGGTGACATCAGTCAAATGATGGCTTCGGTAGGATTGTTGTCTGTAGATTACATTCAAATGCAGAATATTTGTGGATGTATGGATTCAGTTGAGCTTTGTTAGAATTACAGCTAAAGTCTGGCTTAACATGTTTATGTTAACAGTCACTGATACACAAAACAAATCATCTCTATGGGTTTGTATTCAGACTCCTAGGATGTCTTGTCACAGTAGAAGGCTGCATTTCTCTGGTGTCAGCTCTGAGATCCAACCCCTCCCATCTGAAAGAACTGGACCTGAGCTACAATCATCCAGGAGATTCAGGAGTGACGCTGCTGTTAGCTGCAGTGAAGGAGCCACACAACAGACTGGACACCCTCAGGTATGGACAGACAGCAAGAGCTAACACAGGGTTTCTCTGTCACACCGACAAAGTCATTTAGATTCATGCTCTGGGCCAGTGAAAGAAGTATATAGTAGAAATGCAGCTGTGTGTAATTAAAGGTTTTTGACATGGTTTACTCTGACTTTGTTTCTCCCACCAGGGTGGAACATATCGGAGAGCATCGGCTGAAACCGGGTCTGAGGAAGTGTAAGTGTGTGTGTTCACTGTGATTCTCAGCTCAGCCATGTTATCAGGACTGGGTTCAGGTACTTTAATCCAGCCTCACCAAAAACAGTGTCATGGCCATTTTAGTTAGTTTGGTTTGCCAAATGCATTGTAACAAAAAGGCTTTAAAAGTGGGGATGTTTGAGAGGCTGCTCATGGTGTGGGACTGTAGCGAAACCACAGCTCGGTGTGCAGGCCTTGTCAGGGTGTATTTTAGTCCAAACCAAGATATTTTCCTAAGGTGTGCTACAAACAGTGTTAATAAAATATTAACAGAAAACAGAAGTCAGCAACATCTGGCAATGCCAAAAGAAAAAGGGACTTGCTCACGGTGAGAGGCGCCGGCAGGTGTGGGGATATTCAAAAGCCTCCGGCTGAGCGCCGCCATGTTGGAGTTCTACCCGGAGAGCGAGAGGGTGGCCTCTCTGTGGCTGTGTGTTGCAGACGGGAAAACTTGTGCTTATGCACCAAACGGCAGTTCAGAGTATCGGGCCTTCTTGGAGTCTCTGGGTGGTGTCCTGGAAGGGGTGCCGCCTGGGGACTCCATAGTTCTCCTGGGGGACGTCAATGCTCATGTCAGGAACGGTCTGCCTGATCTGAACCCAAGCGGTGTTCTGTTTTTGGACTTCTGTGCTAGTCATAGACGGGTCATAACAAGCACCATGTTCAAGCTTAAAGTAGCTCATAAGTGTACCTGGTACCAGAGCACCTTGGGCCAAAGGTCAGTGATGGACTTGGTGGTCGTGTCTTCAGACCTGTGGCCGTATGTTTTGGACACTCGGGTGAAGAGAGAGCAGAGCTGTCAAATGATCACCACCTGGTGGTGAGTTGGATCCGATGGTGGGGAAGGCCGGACAGACCTGGTAAACCCAAACTCGTAGAGAGGGTGAACTGGGAACGACTGGTGGAGGACCCTGTCTGTGGGGTTTCAACTCCCACTTCCAGAATAGAAGTGGTTCATTTACTTGTTCTTGCCACGGTGCTTACGAGTTGGTCTGTTCGTAAAGCAATAAATAAACCAAGGAATCAAACAGGTGTGTCAGATGATAACATGCTGCCATCTTGTTTTCATCAGATGCCTGTGAACTCACACTGGACACAAATACAGCGAACAGAAAGCTCCGACTGTCTGACAACAGCAGGACGGTGACGTCGGTGAAGAAGCAGCAGCCATACCCTGATCATCCAGAGAGGTTTGAGTTCTGGCCTCAGCTGCTGTGTAGAGATGCTTTGACAGGTCGCTGTTACTGGGAGATGACGTGGGGAGGAAGAGTCAGCATATCAGTGACTTACAGAGGAATCAGCAGGAGAAGAGACAATGACGAGTCCTGGTTGGGACGAAACAAACAGTCGTGGAGTCTGATCTGCTCTGACGTGGACGGCTACTCTGTCTGGCACAACAAGAGAAGAACAGTCCTCCCTCCTGCTTCCATCTCTCACAGAGTGGCGGTGTATGTGGACTGTCCTGCTGGAGTTCTGTCCTTCTACAGCGTCTCCTCCGACACACTGACCCACCTTCACACCTTCCACACCACATTCACTGAGCCTCTGTATCCTGGCTTCGGCTTTGCCTTCGGCTGGCCTGGTTCTTCAGTGTCTCTGTGTGCTGCTGTGTAGAGAAACACACACAGATGGATTCTTGGTGTCATTCACCTGCTTCTGCTAAAGAGCCCAAACATGTATGTTGGAATTCCTACGATGGGATAGATAGCCGTTTTCCAGGTGAGCTGATGTGCTTGAGCTGCACCAAGTGCCAAAGGCTTCAAAAGAGGGACTTCTAAACAAACAAACAAAAAACAACAACAAAAACACGTCTATTATTCACCAAGACTCATTCCCATCTCCTCCTTAATCCAAAGTATTCAATCATGAGCAGGTTATCTGGGATCAGCTGTGCACGGGCTCGCCGTGGCGTGAACAGGAACACGACAGAGCCATGACATCACCGTGATGGGGCTGCAGTGTTTCAGCTCGTAACCCTGTTGTACATAACTAAGTGTATTTCTTTGTGTGATACCAACATCATCTGTACCTTTGCAATAAATCTGGCCTTTGTTTCTGCAGCAGTGCTTTTGGTTTGTTTTTCACATAAATATCTGTATAAGAAGGGTCACACAGACACAGACCTTCTGCATAGTCGAGCTAAAATGACATGAACAACATGTGTTCAAAACCGTTTCATAAACAATCAAACTGGCCTTGTTGTTTGAAAGAATATAAATAGATAAGCTTAAAAAACAATAAGTGCTGATACAGCTCTGTTAGTAACACATCAGCGTGGGTCTGACCAGTCAGCAATACATTTACAATAGGACTCATACTTTAGTGGCACACACAGTTGTGTCTTAAAGTTTAACAGCTGGCTACCATTTCTGATAGAACATATTATTGGTTATCAGCTGGGACTGAACCGGCGACCTCTGGAGCCAGAGCTTCCTCCACCGTCACCCAGTAAAGTCACACATTTTACTAAATTATTGAAACTTAAGGAGGAAACTGCATTCAAGTGGATCAGAAAGGCAGCAAGGTTGAAAGAAGCCTTCAGCTCTCCTCCTCATGTTTCTCATTTTTTTCCTTTTTCTCTCTCCCCATTCTTCCCCTTCTTTTCTCCCTCCCCCCCAGACAGACTATTGTTCCCCAGCTTTGGCTCAGGTGGTTCAGCAGCTATCCTCTGATCACAGGGCTGGTGGTTCAGCAGCTATCCTCTGATCACAGGGCTGTGGTTCAGCAGCTATCCTCTGATCACAGGGCTGGTGGTTCAGTCCTCCTGTGGAGCAGAAACATCGACAGCATCAGTCGTCACTGAAATAATCTAAAGATTTTTTTCATGTCTGCTTTCAATGACAGTTTTCTGTTCCTCTTTTGCCGTGGAGGGGAGGAGTCTGAGGGGAGGGGCACGGAGTGCATTATTTACATATCATTTGCATATCAATGAGTATCGACAGCCAGTCAGTGACATCCACTGGAAAGGAAAGATGGACGTAACAACCGTGACGTCTCCCGTTGGTTTCTGCACTGAGAAATGGAACGTTTTGCTACCTCCTGGTTGACATCTTGGATTTTTGGAGCCAGAGATGAAAAAAAGATTGTGAGAGGGCGGAGCCAGAGGGCAGCGATTGGTCAGATGGACTGCGAGCTGCAGACTCTCTGCCCGCCCACATTTACTTGCTGCTGCTGCTGCTAAGCACGCTAGCCTCCAAAAGTGGCGCTAAACTCTACGGGTGAGTGTTAACGTCACTTCATACCCCTTTCCCACCAAACCGGTTCCAGTGCTGGTACCGTGCTAGTGCCTGACTCAGCACCAGTTCTTTGTGTTTCCACCTCCTAAGCACCAGCTCCAGGTTCTCAGAACTGGTGCTTGGCGAGCACCAACTCCTTGCAGGGTTTTTCCATAGACTGTATAAAAGATGGACGTAGCAACCGGCCCTGAAAAATGAAGTCAACCCGGAAGTGTCAGAAACCTGCAGCATCACTACGTCCGCTAGCTGCTGGCTCCACAAAGCCCTGGCTCCCATAGACTGGAATTGGAAAAGAAGTGATCACAGATCACCAGACTGCATTCCTACAGCTCAGGATTTTTTTCTTATCAGTTTTCATGGTCAGATCCAGAGATCAGGTGGCCAATCTGAGAATAAATCAAAACTGAATTTTTAAAAAATCATCAACATGTTGCGGGGCAAGGGGCGTGGCTGGCTTGATTGACAGTCAGCAGTGACGATGCAGATGAAGCGAGCAGAAGGCGGTAAATGAAGCCGCTGATGGAAGTCATGGTTAAAGCATCAAAACATATCGAGGCTCATATCCAGACTGTTCCTCAGTATGATGGGATGTGACGATACAACAACACTGCACATAAAGCTCAGGTGGGAGAGAGAGCTGGTGTCAGGATCTCTGAGGAAGACTGGTTCCAAATGTGTGAAACTCAAAAAGCAGACGTCCACAAGTCCACAAGTCCACAAGTGCTGGAGGCCACGTGGTCACGCTACTGCAACCACACAGATGTTCTGGTGTGAACTCTGTGATCGATGAGGTAACTTCACCAAGAAGTGCTCCTCTCTGTGTCTGGGAAGTAAGTGGTACTGGAGGAGGACAACTGTCTGGTTAGGGCCAGAACAAGAACCGGGCTGGCTTCAGACCCGCCCAGACACAAACACTGGTTGGATATAGTACAGGGAATGTATGTGATGGAAGAAACGACTGGAAAAGATGATCTTGATAGAAAATGGGACAAAAACAGAGACACCAGCATGTAAATGACGACGTGGTTTTACTTAGAAATGAAAACTAACGTATACTGAAACCTGTCGCCCCGGCCCGATCACTGTGAGCTGATCTGTGTTCATGCATCCATCCACCGGGTCGGGTCGCAGAGGCAGCAGGTGGAGCAGGTGGAGCAGGTGGAGCAGGTCATCCCCTCCCCCCGGCAACGCTTTGGAATGTGGAAAAAAGAAAATAAAAAACTAAAGTGAAACATATATATGTCCTTATTAAAAGAGATGATTTTCTTATTTGTGCACCAAAGACCTTCAGCAACATTATGTTCTTGAAAGAACCATTTCAGACCGATCTGGGTTTAGTTTGATACCAGAATTTCAGCATCATTGAAGTCATTTTTAAGGCATAAACAAGGTCAGAATTTCTGGGATGGAAGTCTGGGTTCGAAGTCAGTGCAGTGTCCTGAACAGAAATAAAGATGATCATGAAACAGAGACCGAAGGAAAGGAGGCGAACACCAGAGAGGAGGAGAGGATCAGGATCAGGAAGGAGGAGGAGAGGTGAGCTGAACATGGTCCAGACAGATGTGACTGCTGTGGGGGAGAAGAACCAGCAGAACATGTTTTGCCCCACAAAGGCAGCTGATCCTCAGCCTCAGAGACAAAAGTACAGTTTGAAGTCAGAGTTTCTACAAAACAAAGTGTCAGACTCACCGATCCAGAGGATGTGAGGGATTCTTTCTTCACCAGCGTTGTGTGATCCAAACTCCAACCAGCTGGTGGCGCTGAAGATGCAGCAATTCAGTGTTTGTTTACCACCAATGAACCTCAGAGAAGAAGACGAAGAAGCCAGCTGGCAGCGCAAAGCATGATGGGAACGTTAATGTTCAGCTCCAGGTCCTTAAATAGATCCTTCCATGGATGTCGATCAGGAGGGTTTGATGTCAGCGTGTCTGTGAACAAAGTGTTTGGTGTGTGTTTCACAGAGACGAGATCAGATCAGACGAGACGAGACGAGATGAGAGTTTGACCGAGGCTCTGTAGCGGCTCATGAGTTCGTCACTGGGACGAAGCAGAACGCAGGTTGTGATCCCGGCTTCTCTTCCAACAACAGGCGAGTCTCCTCGCTGTTCTTCTGGATGAAAAAACAAACAAGAATCCACAAACTGACTTCAACACCTGGTGAAAAGTCTTCCCACAGTGGAAGTAGTGTCCAATGAGAACGGCGGCGATCAGCGCCCTCCAGCGGTCGCAGTCAGTAACTGCAGCTCTGTTCATATTCACAGTGATGGGCTGCAGTTCAGAGGAACGTTACTGGAAACGTCACTTCAACCTCTGAGAAGACATGTTAGTTTCACTTTGACGAAAAGCTTTTTTAATGTTTCAAAGTGTTATTTTTAGTTTGTTTATGTCTGAATCATAAATAATTGTGATGATCTGCAGCCGCTTCATGCGGCCACACGGTGGCGCTAATGGCTTGGATCATGTTGGACACCATGTTCTCCTGACCACAACTTCAGGAACCTGCTCCGACTCATGGCGAGATGAAAAATCTGATTTACTGATTCAGGTAAAAGTCTAGAAGTTGCAAACATTGTTTTTGTTGAGTTGGGTTGATGATGTTGCATCAACTCGCTGTGTGCAATTCAAACTCCAGTTTGTAGTTTTGGTGGAAAAAATAAAAGCACATGACACCCGATTACTTTTAAATAATGTGGAAACCCTTATGGAGTGGTCAGTGCCAAATTGCAAAAATAAATCAATAAAAAAAATTAATAAAAGTGGAAATAAAAAGAATAAATAAAACATCAAATAAATAATGTGACAGTATAAAGCAATATTAATCA